TGTTGCGCAGCAAGAATCGTGGTATATAATCGATGCTGCAATGAATCGTGTCTCGAAGCGGAATATCTCGCGTTGTTCACGTGGGCTCGCATTGTTCGTGCGGCGACAGACGCACCATCACCGCCTGTGGGAAGCGTTAAGCCAAGTTAACGCGGATTGGGGTCCTGGAACGATAACCAGTAAACACTTCACTAATCTTATCGTTACCCAATGTGTTGAATTGCTTACAAGGTTTTCATTATACAGTGCATCGTTCTGCTTTGTTGGTACTGCAATAGTCCTGTTTGTACAATGCTGCAGCTATGGCTGCAACGCCTGAAGCCCACCCCATGTAACCTTATTGGGGTCACCGTCGTGGCCTCACCCAACGTAAAGGAAGGGCGCCGATCTCTGACAAGAGGGGCGCTTGGCCTGGACTCCCCGCACCCTTCCCACCAAGCGACCCTGCCCCGAGGTCCTGGAAGCCACCATCAGCTCTATGAACACTTTACGTCGTCTTTAGTTGCTACTTAATTCACTCGCTAAATAGATAGAATTTGAATACACGGAATGGGCGAACGTACAAACCGCACCGCGGCCTCAAAACGTGTCCCTTCGTGTCTCAGTGTGCTGCTGAGCTTTAGAGGTGAATTGTACATGTTTGATGCCCCTGCTGTTGTGGAGTGACTCATGCAAAGTTTGGTCTACGTGTTGTGTTTATATCGTTTATTGTTACATTTGAATCCGTTCCTGTGATCATTGTTACATAGTTTTTTTAGCTTAATTTTGGTAATTTCGAAAAGTATGTTTAAGCCATGTTAGTTAAAGTATGGAGTTAGCCTGACAACTTTACGTAAATTGTCTTATGGTTGTGATTGTTCGACTTGCATCCCATTGGGATGTTCGCACAGCGTGGATGTGCGGTGATTCTTTCTGAAAGTATTTGCTGTTTCTCCTTCCTGGATGTTTCTGTTGCGCGTCGGCACTTTAAGATGTTCTTTGTTCGTTGCGGTTGAACCCGAGTCAAGAGCCTCGTGGCTCACAGGGCTCTACACAATGACACTGAAAACGGAGCAATGCCTCCGCCACTGCTGGTCATTGCTGGGGGAGGAAGAGCCTCCCATTAAAATGAGTCCGAGCTGTTGTTTGGTCGACTTCCCCGCTCCTCCGATGGTCACGGCTGGCTGCTCCGTACGGCGCTGAAGCGCGTTCTGGACACGACACGAGCCACCCACGGGGCCCGGCCGCCCCACGGGGCCCGGCCGCCCCACGGGGCCCTGCCGCCCCACGGGGCCCGGCCGCCCCACGGGGCCCGGCCGCCCCACGGGGCCCGGCCGCCCCACGGGGCCCTGCCGCCCCACGGGGCCCGGCCGCCCCACGGGGCCCGGCCGCCCCACGGGGCCCGGCCGCCCCACGGGGCCCGGCCGCCCCACGGGGCCCGGCCGCCCCACGGGGCCCGGCCGCCCACGGGGCCCGGCCGCCCCACGGGGCCCGGCCGCCCCACGGGGCCCGGCCGCCCCACGGGGCCTGCCCGCGGAGTGAGAGAACGGCCCCATTGTCGCAGCTGCCGCCCAGGGAGATCGAGACGAACCGGCGACCTCTTGGCAATTCCTCCGCGTGCTCCCCATTATACCAATGGCAGCTCCCTTCGCTTCTCCATTCAAAGTGTTTCGATTACTCCCGAGACATCTTTAAATGTGCGGAAAACGGTAACCGGTTATTACCGGTTTTTCATTGTTACCGTTATTGCGAAATTATTTTGACAACCCTCAAGCAGACGTTTATATTCTGTTCACAAAGCTCGAGGAATCATGAACGTAATTTATCGATAATCGTTTACATTGTAATTTCGTGTCCGAATTAACGTTCACTAAGCATTCAACATTTTCACGAAATTTATCCCTGCGTAAATGAACACAATTTATGTTATAACCAAGAGTATCTGGATGAACTCAATCAAATACTAAATGCTAATAATTCCTGAGCTATTCAAAGCAATAAATACACGTATCAGAGTAATTCAAAAATGAGCCAATAAAATGTGTAATCTTGACTTCAAGTTTTCGTTCACTGCAGGAATTCATATTCTTTGGGTCTTTCGGTAAAGTCACGTAGATGTGTAGTTGAACATCATTTTATACGATCGAATCCCAATCCATTTTAAATACGCAGAAGCCAATCAAACAACAATGATTAACATAATTTAAGCAGTCCAATCGAATGCTCTTAATAGTAGCATAATTTATGCGTACCAATGAAACCTTCGCTATGTCATTAACATAATGTGTGCGGCTATATGAGAGACGTGACGCACCCTCCCGCAATCCTTTGCGCGCTCCGCCATTCTGTTCGTGGCTTTCTAGGTGAGTGGCTGTGTGTCGTGCTTTCTCCGCGGATTTTAATTAAGGTATGTTTTATTTCTTATTTATCTGCACACTTACGTTTATAGTACGTTTATAGTCTAGGCGATTTCGCCGCATGCAGACATTTGTGTTTTAATGCGGACATTTTTGGAAAAAAAGGTGGCTTTTTTGTTTCGCGGCCATTTTCTATTGTTCGGGGGGGGCGGTGAAGGCGCCTCGTTGCGATCGAGTTTTTCCCCGCGAGCCGCGTCGAGCTAAATCGTTTATTCTCAGTATTTTTTTTTTATTTAAGCCGATGTATTTACAGCTAGGATAATGAAAGCGAACTCCGGGCCGCGTGTTTTAAACCGCCATGTTAAGCGTCGTGGCCCCGAGAGGTTGCGTCTCATTGGCCCGTTCCGATCACGTGTCGCCTCTAGACCAATCGCGTTCGCAGGTTACCGATCCCCACCCACCAGGCCTTTGAAAGAGCCCTCTGATGGCGCCACTGCGCATGCGCTTAACGCCGAAATTCGTCGAGTGATCCCCACGTGGGCGGATGCTGTCTGCTGCTGGATGATGGGGGCCTCGCCACACGCCCTACCGGGTCGTGGGGGTTGTACGCTGGTGCATGCGGGGAACATATCGTACAGCACGACTGCCCTCGGGAACAATGCAAAGTCTGACATGAAGGTTTATGCGGTGACTTTTCAAATGTAACTGAATATTGATTTAAGTAAAACGTTAAGGAAAGTTAACCTGTATTGTACTTCGAAAACCGAACATGACCGTTCACACGAGGTTGTGGTTTCATACACGCGTTGTGATGGTGCTGGAATATCCGTTTCTTTGCCGTGTTGTAGGGCACGACCTCTGACCAGAAAGCATCAATAGGGCAGATAACATTAAAATGTGGCGGTACATTGCCGAGGCCAGAGGTAGTGGATACAGGTTGGAGACTACGATGTGCTTATTCTCCAGCCCGTATACAATTTTATCATAGGGCAAGGCGTGCACACGTGCTGATTTGTGTTTAAGACTCGCTTGCACTCTATCTTGTCCGAGATAAAACGGTGCCTACGACTGCAAACAGTACATGGTCAACGCCAAATCAAAGCAATTGATGAGCTCGCAGCCAACTCCATTGAATGGCTAAGTGATCTAGACTTATTTTTGTTGCTGTTCCAAATTAAGTTGCTTATCTCTGCATCTCGACATACGAAATAAGACTAAACTGCTGTGTTTAATGCTCTCGAGATGGCTGAGCCCTGGTACTGGTCGGTACGTACCGCCGTGTCGTGTTTAACTGCACTTGCGTTTCTTGCAGGAACTCTTGTCTCAAGATGGGCGAGGTCGACCCAGGGAAATTGTTCATCGGGGGACTCAGCACCGATACAAATGAGAACGCGCTGGAGACGATCTTCTCCAAGTATGGGAGGGTCGCTGAAGGTGCGCTCCCATTTATTACGCGTCTTATCTGGGTCTTCTCTCGGCTCCGACCACTTGTACGCAAGTGTCGGAGCCCAGAGAAGATGCCTTACTGCTTCCACAAGGCGGCAGGGGTGGTCACTACTGGATTGTTTTGTAACTTGCAACCCTGTTCTATCAGAGAAACTTGCATTATGTTGGCACTTGAGTTAGTGTTTTTTGTACAGAGCCAATATTGTATTCTGTCCAGAAGATCCCGAGCATCTTGTGCATATGTTTATTTATAGTGTATGGATACAGCTTTTAATCGATTATAGTTTAATTTCGTCCTGTTCACACATCCTATGGCTTGAACATAAATCTAGGAATTCAATATTTTGTGTGTAATCGGTTCACCTGACCCCAGCACTAATACAGGCTACTATGGTCATACCACTGTCAAAAGCTGGATTCATCTTCTTGAATCATTAATTATTACCTGAATCATTCATTGACTTAGAAATAGGAAAGGAGTAAGGCACAAAAAACTCCCTACGTGGAGACCATGATCTGACCGAAAATAATAGCTTTTAATCCACTACTTCGTTAACTGGGTTCTGGCAGGAATGAACGAAAACTCCATTTGAACAGTGCCATTCACACAAGGCCTCACATTGCTTTACAGAAAGTAATCAACCCTTAACAAATATAGCAGAATAAAATTGTACTAAAACAAATATATATTAACACGCACTGTAAGCCAAGTTTAATGACTTGCTGCACACACACTGTCCAATCTTTTCATGTAATTTTATGCTCTCGCCGACTTTTATAATGCACAGGAAAATGATTGTTAAAGATGGTCAAAGTGGCTAACCCCAAATCCTAGTAATACATGAAGGCTGTGATGTGTGCGGTCAGGTGATCCAAGTTGTGATCACGGTGCTGTGATGAATCTTCAACTCTGAGAACAAATGATGTTCACATCCTGTCCTCTAAGAAGTACTGAGCACTGACTACTTATGAACACTAGGGGTGGCCCGGAGGTCAGCGCTGAGCTTGCCACCATCGAGATCCATACTAGTCTCCAGTCTTTGAGTCCCCTCCTATGTTTCCCGTATTCACCTCCTGTCCTGTTTACCATTTGTTTTTGTCTTCTACTCCTTAGTTCATGCCTCTATATTCTGTCATTGTTTTGTCTGTGGGCCGTCTATCTCCTTTGGTTCTGTGCCCCTCTCTGCTGTACTTTCTTTCTCAATGGCTCTGTCTCTAATATCTACTCGTGTTCCTCCCCAGTGCTGATCATGAAGGACCGGGAGACGAACCGCTCCAGAGGCTTCGCCTTTGTGACGTTTGCGAACCCTGACGACGCGAAGGGTGCCGAGAGGGACATGAACGGGAAGGTGAGTGCTGTGACCCGTGCAATCTGCACCCCCCTCGGTTCCACCACACTGGTCAGAGTAAAACACTTGATTAGTTCCACACACTGTTTAAGATTAATCTGTTTGCTTGGCCAGGTTTGAACTTGAGACCAGAGTAGTCTCGTTTCCAAGAGTGACCTAGGTCACAAAATTGCCCAAAACAAAACTATTGCAATGAGTTCCACAGACTTTTCATAGATAAATTCAACTGATAATGTTCACACAGGCTCAAGCATGAAATTGTCTTAATATTACAACTGTCTGATTTGAAGTCGGAATAATGCAATAATTATTTTTTTTATCATGCCTTTCACGCCAGGGCATTTGAGCACTTTGTAATAAGGATGCCTTGCATAGAACCCAAATGCTTTAACCCGACATCTCACATATGCCCCGCTAGGCGTTACAGTGATGGCCTCCCCTTGCCCTCACTGTGTCACGCGAGGCACAGATTAAACTGGTTCCTAGTTTACACTCGGCCGCCACCTACATGGTCGCCCTGAATGATTGTGGAGCCAACAATGCCTCACTAACACCAATGTGGCTGTCCTGATACAGACAGGAGGGGGGGAGAACCCCGCGCCGGTTTAGAAATGCACTCCTGTTGATATCGCAGCCAGGAACAAAACTCGTGTAGTTGGGTTTGCAGGGTGATGCAGGAATGAACTATTGGAATATGTTCTCCCTGTACGTTGTATTTGTGTGTGTATCCAGGGCGGTTAACAATCCCTCTACTCAAGGCCGTAACGATTTAGTTTGACACACAAGACCCATCGGTGGACTCGTGATTTCTCCCCCCCCGCGTGTGTGTGTTCCCCTGCCACAGCCCCTGGATGGCAGGAATATCAAGGTGGAGCAGGCAACGAAACCATCGTTCGAAGGCGGTGGTCGATTCGGCTCTTATCGGGGGTTTGGCTTCCGGGGTGGGCGCGGATCCTACCGAGGTGAGGCTCCTCATCACTAGGGTCCCTCCCTCGTTGCAGCTAGCTCGCTGACTCAATCTTGGACTTATTGGACTTCCTCCATCAACTGGCTCTTCTGCAGAGCACTTACCTATCCGGACACTGTCCAGGCTCAAACTTATTTCGCTTCCAAGATCTGATAAGTTGCGGGGCGCAATCAAGTGATCGTAACATCACGTAAACAAAACTCAATGTCACATATTCCACATGACCACCCAATGGGGATGGAAAATGGTTCTAGAATTGCGACCCCGAATCACACAAGGAGTGCGAATGACCCCGGTGCCGTGATGAGCAGTGAAGCACTGAGGCGACCGTGCTGTTGTGTTTTTTCCTCTAAGAAACTCTGAGCATCGGTCAGCTTAGGAACTGATCCAACTGGTGTCCGTCCAATGGGCCACGGAGAGTTTTGGCCCACCTGAAACAGATATGGATTAGTTAGTGGAAAGAGATAACACTGATTTGAAAACTGTCGAGAGATTAATGAGATAGGGATCTGATAACGGAAGAAGAGAGGTACAGATTAGTGAGATTAAATAAACACGATATTAGTGCTATAGACGAAAGATGCAGATTAGTGAGACCTAAGCAGGATTGAATTTTGTTAAGAATTATTTTGTCATTACATTTATGCAAATTACATCTCAATGCTGAACATCACTAACCACGTTAACAAAAAAAAATTGCACGAACACCATAGAAACGAAATAAAAACAGGATCAAGGGTACAGAAGGCAGCGCAACACGAAGCAGCTGGGTCAATGGCAAACACCTAAGCTCCAACATCGACGAAAGTACATATCAACAACGAGTTTCATCCCATGCAGCGTCATCCATGCAAACGGCACCCCAATAGACTGAATATCATGAAGGCCCAGCACACAAGTCGTAGGCAGCAGCAAACTAAGTTTAGAATTGTAATTTGAAACTTGAAAGGGAGCTGTTATGTATGAATGTAGTGGATTACACAGGAGCTGCAAAAGATAAAGCACTCCCACCAACAGTAATGCATTTGATCTTCAGTCCAAATCTATTCTGTGTGGGGCTTTGAACGTTACATCCCTCCTATGACGAGAAATCACTGGACACTCAAAATTCCCTAACCCATCATTGAGCCACAGTAAAATGTGTTTACGAGACCACACTGAAAGATAGGCAAAATGCATTCAATTCACATTATCAATGTAATATTGCTATGTAGAACGGGTTCCTTAGAGTTCTAATTTACGTACCATTTGAAAAATATAAATTTAATGGACTTATTTGTAATATAGCACCTGCCTGTTTCTACCACATATCCCTGGCGAGTGGTGAGGGGAAGTTGTGATTGTGTAGGGAAACTGTATGAGTATTGAAACCATTTCTGGGGGTACCCTGTGCTGCAGGCCGTGACAGGGATGGCTACGGAGGCCCCCCAGCTCGCCGAGACGGCCCCCCGTCACGGCGCGACGACTACGACGACTACTATACCCCCCGGGAAGGAGGGTAAGGGTGGACAAGCGGCGGTTTAGAGGGATTGAGGAGTGAGATGAGGGAACATTATCTCGCTGTTTGTGAGTGTTCTCCAGGTACTCGATGTAGGACTCCATTGAATATTTTTAGAGATGCATTGACACTTGGTGGATGTATAACAGCAGTTGTTAACCAGTAATCTCTGGTAAATCTGGGTGAGTTGCAGGTACCAATTACTGAGTGTAGTCAATCTCATTGACTTTTCTGGCATTGGAGTTCAGTGCAATGGCTACGACACCAACGCCTCCTTTACCCAGTGCGACCCGTGTCTGCCCCCACATACAACAGTTTCCTCCCGGTGTCGAGCATTGCCAATGCGTTTATGCACGTGTTGGGCAGTTTCTTCACGCATTTGTCTTGTGTAGATGGCGCAGATACGTGTGTATCGTTACATCATAATGGAAAAGCACAGTCAATCTCTTAGGAAGCTGACACGACACGCAAGGTGGTTTGGCCAGCAGATGGGCGTTGTTTCCATGACAGGACGATACCCATGTAGATGCAGCTGGCACTGCTTGTGTGAACTTCAGTGAGGGTTAGCCCAGTGCAGTGATGAAACTTCTGTGCTGAATACCTGATTATTTCACTTTGTCCTCTAAGAAGTACTGAGCACTGCGCACACCTTTGCCAGCAATGGCATAATTAAACAAATCAGGGGTGGTTTGCATCGATTAATATAAATCGAAAATGTATCCAATTTAATGACAATTGCACTTTAGGTATGTCATGAGATGAGGTAGAACCCTCCATGTTAGTGACTGGCCCACAGAATCGAATTTTCCCGCAGGCCTAGCCACTAATATTAATGACATGGCAGTCGAACCAATTCATATATTTTTTAAGATCGTGATATATGGAAAAACATTTTTTAAAATGATGTTTGATTGTTGTATACAATGGGTTCACATCACCCCTACAAGTCTGTGCTGATCCTTGTTAGAACTACACATGGAAGATCACATAACATGTTGTACAGTGCGGGTCTTTATGCGAGTCTGGGTTGTCATGAGTGCATGGGTCTCTATACGAGCCTATGCCGGTGTAGTTGTGAATGAAGTGTGATCCATCACCCATGCGACCGATCATTGCTGAACGTATGCTTTTGTACGAGGTACAAACAGACTCCATCTGGCATTCCCCAACGCCATCGAATGGCTTCTCCAAACTGAACATGCACCATACAGAATGAGACTCTTCACCCCTGCAGTCGCTGGAGGCACTGACGTTCACCGTGATGTTAAAGAGGGAATAATATTGTTAATTTGAGCTTACACTGAGCGCCGTGTGTTGGTGCAGCTACTCCGGCAGGGATTATGGAGGCTCGCCAGACTCACAAGAGCACTACGGGGGACACAGGGGCGACGGGTACAGAGCAGGGGCTCGTGCCTACGGGTGAGTGGGTGACGTAGAGACGGGTGAGTGACGTGGGTATAGGTGAGTAAGGGGAGGTAGAGACGGGTGAGTGACTCCATGTGGGTACGGTTGAGTGCGTGAAGTCGAGTGTGACATCTGTGAGTGGTGTGGGAATGGGTGAGTGATAGATGGTTGAGTAAGTTCATATTGGTACAGGTGTGGTTAAGGTGAGGGACCTGTGCATGTTTTTGTCTCTGCATTGTTCATGTGTTATCGTGTTTGCTCATGGATTTTCTTTTTGTGCGTTCCCTCTTTCCTGACCGACTTGGTCTCCTGCTGTCACTTGTGCTCCTCTCGCCGTGGTCTCCACGTGGCAGTGAGCGTGATGGCTACTCCAGCCGGGAGTCCCGCGACTACGGCGCCAGTGGCGGAAACTACAGGGACGCCTATGACAGCTACAGTGAGTGCCCCCACCAACCCTTCAATCGGTTCCCCCCTATCGAGCCCCTCCCCTTCCAGTCAAAAATCACATGCCTTATTACTCCCTGACAGCACCTTCCTTTTTTCCTGCCATTGCTTTAAACCTACGTCGACCAGCGTGGCAAAGTGTGGTTACATTTCTTGGGCATGGTGTGCGGAAACCCTAATCCTTAAGGTGGGTTGACTAAAGTGCTGTGCATGTGCATACGAGTGATGTGCTTGACCCATGCTCCCAGTGGACATGTACAACAACACTTCTTAATCCACTGCTGGATGAGCGCAGCCTGCTCTGTCATTGGGTTATTTGACCGTGCCTCACGATAGTGCAGGTTGGTTAAAGCTGGGAGAGTAGACGGGGAAACAGGACTTTTCATTATTTGCTGCCCTGCCTTTTCCACTCGTGAGACAACCTGTTTATGCATCCAAGCACTATCCAGCCACTCACCTGCTTTGGCTTCTGAGATCTAATGA